CTAATACCATTAACTCACAAACATCCCACTCTCCCTACCTCTAATATCATCAATTCACAGACACTTACCTTCCTTCCCCCTCCCCCCCCACCCCCCCCCCCCCCAGTGTGTGAGGGGAATGTCTTTTTCCTTCTCAGTAGGGGCCGTGTTGTTGTTTTCCTCTCACTTGTGTGCGGCCCCGACTGATTTTTTCATTATCAATGAATGTGCGGCCCCGGACTGAAAAAGGTTCCCCACCACTGCTCTAGAGAGTTGACGCTGCAGGCTCTCGTCGAACCCCTCTGCTCACTGAGCCGTGGTTTGGACCTGGGAATATGGTGTCCGCTCTTTAGCATGGGCATCCTGCTTCCCCCCCCACAGTCCTTAGCACACTTCGCAAGGGTTCTGGGTGATTTGTGGCGAGATCTGAGAGGGGGTGCTCTTTGGACCACCAGTACACAGCATTTTCTGTCTTCGCAGCAGTAATGTTCACCTACCTACAGTGAAAAGTGAGACGAGCTTGAATTTGGTCTCTTGATGCTTAACTTGAGGACATTAAGGGACGTTGAAATTGATGGGAAAGCGTTACCACATCACACATTTCTTGATGCTTCCATTTACATCAATGGTTAAATTGCCAGAATGGAGGCCAGAGAGCACACACTGGTGTGACAGAGGTTGCTTAGGAAGTTTAGGGAGAGGAATCTTTTCCTCCCTAAAGTTCACATGAAAGTAAATAACTTTAAAAAATCTCAACCTTCCCTGAGGGGGATAAGAATAAACAATAACAGCTCTGTGAAGAATCAATTAGTATTTACAAGAAATTTAATTTTTTTTTAAACAGCAAGATTGTGACAATCCAAATAAGGGACCAAATCCTGCCTTCTAATTTGCCCAGCTAATTCCACAGAGATTAGTGGGGTTATACATGTGAGAAAAGAAAAGGATTTGCTCCACATTTGTTATAAGGGAGTTTTGACCACACAAATCCAAACATGCAAAATTGGAGTTTGTATTGATTTACTGGATTCTGTTTTCTAACTTTTTAAATTGTGGGTGACAGCTTCCCTCTCTCCCTTCTCCCCCCAAAGAAAATATTTCTTTGGATACTTCATCAAAAGCTTGACATTGCTTAGAGGAATAGTTCTTTTTAATGTGTTCATTTTTCTGGAAGCTCAATTTTGTTCAATGAAATGTATGTGAGGGTTTCCCCCCTCATTTTGTTGGTAGACTTTCCTCCAGTATTCTGGAAAAACTCTGCCACGTCCAAGGAATGCATCTGCTGCTTCGAAATTTTTTTCAAAAGTACAGACATTTTTTTTCTGGCATCCCTGTAAACCAGACATATCAAACTCGAAGCCTACTGAGATCCACACAAATGAAAACTGATAGCTTTCAGGGCCACCAATATACTTCTATTGGAAAGTCATAATTATTTATTATTATAGATTATGTTTTAGATATATCGTATCATATTTTTTCAGGTCTTGTTTGAATATAATACAATAATTTGATGTGTAAAATTGTTATTTGCTCATATATAATATTTTTTATAGTTTTTAAATATAAATGTAAGGTGCTTTTAAATTATTTTATATGATACATAACTTGTTTTGCTGAAATAAAAACAAGCATAGACCAAAACTATAAGAGAGAGACTCGTATTTCAGAATAATTGCTTCAGCCTGGCAAACAATAGCCTTTGAATTTCCTTTAAAGAAACAGTGTAAACCAGGTACATGCTGATTCTTTTTTTTTTTCCTGGAATTTAAATATGACATCCGTGTTGGCTGCCTTATTCTGTATCCATGAAGACTGAGTTTAAAGTACCTGATGTACAAGTGCATATTTATTAGCAATATTGGTGTGTTCTGGTTACCCTTGACTGGCTGGTACTGCTTAGATATAAATCTGGATAATTTCCTTTTCCTTTTTTATCTTTAAAGCAGATGTTATCTGAGTCAATGATTCAGAAATTGGAAACCCATACCAAGTTAAGTCTATAGAGCAGAAAATGAAATAAGGATAGGTAAAATGTAAGGTAGATTTCAGGTGTGCAAAATGGGAATTGATGAGCAAACAGCCAAAACAGCCAAAAAAAATTGATAAAAGGAAACTTTTTTTACCCAGTTCACCTGTGGAACTCACTGCCATTAAATATCAATGAGGTCAAAAGTTTGTAAGATTTTTAAAAGGATGAAGGCTTGTTGATAATGAAAATATCTAAAATACCATAGGTAGGATAAAAATCAGATTAAAACCCACTCATGTTTCAGGTCATAAGCTATCCAGAGATAACTGTCCACTGTAGTTTCTTGTGGACATGTGTGAACACACACACACCCCATCCTATGACAAGTCTTGTATTGGCCACTTTTGAAGCTACAATACTGGATTTGGCAATGCCTACATTCTAACAAAATCATGACAAATATTAACACAGTACAGTTAAGTACTTAAAAGTCAGGACAGTTAGGTACTTAAAACTCAGGACATATGAAAATTAAACTGGGAACCACAAATCAGCCCCTTGTGTGTGTATATATTATAGTACTCTTGATTCCATTCCATTCCATTCCATTCCATTCAGTGGAAAAAAACTGTACGCTATCATATTATTTAAGAAACAGTATGTGACACCATGCAATTAACACTGAATTGTATGCTTGTACAAGGGGAAGAGCTAAAGGGCTGTGGTCCAATACCTTCCCCTCCCCCAGAGCGAGGCACCCCCAACCTAATGCCTTCCTCCTCTCCCAGAGCCAGGCACTCCTCAGACACCCCCAACCTAATGCCTCCCCCTCCTCCAGAGCCAGGCACTCCCAGCCCTCCCCCCGCAACCTAATGCCTCCCTGAGAGCCAGGCACTCCAAGCCCCCCTAACCTAATGCCTGGGTCCCAGAGCTGCCATCACCTCATCGCCACCACACACTTCTTCCTCAGGCACTGGGGCGGTGTGAGTACAGCAGCCAGCTGTGAGCAGGCGCTTGATGCCTGTGCAGAGCGGCCCGGCCAGCCCTGAGCAGTCGTTGTGGAGCAGTGTGCAAAGCAGCCGGCCAGCTGTGATCTGCACTGGGCCACGTGCTCTGAGTGGCCAGTGGGCCACACTTTATTCTTTTATAAAATGTAGTGGTGGATGGGCTGCAAAAAACTTTGATCGGGTCACATGTGGCCCTCCAGATGCCTGTTTGACATGCCTGCTATAAACCTTGTTTTATGAGAAAGTAGGGATGTTCCAAAAAAGGGTTTTTTCCAACATTTGGCCTAGTGTAGATGGGCCAAATATCGGAAAAGCCTCTTCCAAAAAGAGAAGCAGAAAAAGCTTTTCCAGAAGAATTGTGTAGTCTAGGCACAGCCCTCCTCCCCCTTTATATATATACACACATGAAAAAATATTTTGCATTGTCCATGTCAGGCATCATAGGATTTAAAAAAACCAGTATCATTCACAATTTCCTCTTTGTGGCACTCACTGTACTTTGTAAAGAAATTTGAAAAAAGGGTGGGGAGAGATTTCAAATTTTGCAAAGGATAAAAAAATTATATAAGGTACTTAAGTCAAGAGCTGATAATGAAGAATTTCAAAGAGATCTCACAAAACTGGATGACTGGGAACAACATGGCAGATAAAATTCAGAATAAGTGCAAATACATTGTCAAACATGATCCCAGTTACACATACAAGATGTTGAGGGTTAAATGAGATGTTACCACTCAAAGACATCTTGGAATCATTGTAGCTAGTTCTCTGAAAACATCTATTCATTGTGCAGCAGAAGTAAAAAAACAAAACAAAAACGAATGTTATTAACTATTATGAAAGAGATAGCTAAGACAGTAAATATCACATAGTACTTTGATTACTGCATGTAGTTGTGGCCATTAGAGCACATCTACACAGCAGTGTTAATTTGAAATAACTGATGTTATTTTGTAATAACATAGTCCCCGTCTACACTACAAGCAGTTATTTGAACATAAGGTCAAAATAATGGCGAGCTGGAGGACTTCTTACTCTGACTCCTATAACCCTCATTTTACAAGGAGTAAGGGAAGGCAGAGGAAGAGTGCTCTTCCTTGGACTTCTTGCTGTGTACATAGCCCTAAAAGCTGAAATAAGCTATTTCCACTTAAGCTATGCAATTGACGTAAATGAAGTTGTGTCGCTTATTTTGGCTTTAGCCCTGCGATGTAGACGTGCCCTTAGACATATTATAGAAGTTATACAATCATGGATGAGTGGAGAAAATGACTAGAGAAAATGTCATTTTATCCTTTTCGCATAATGGGTGACTCCTCGGTTCTTGCAACAAAATTAAATGGCAGCAGGGTGAAAAATATAAGGAAATACTTCTGCACACAAGGCACAGTGAATCTGTGGTACTCATTGCCTGGGGATGTTACGATCAAATGTATAACTGGGTTCAAACAAGAATTAGGTAAGTTCATGGATGATAGATCCATCAATGGCTAAAAAGCCAACATATTCAAGGATGCAACTCCATTTTTGGATGTCCCTAGAACTGTGACCACCAGAAGCTGGGACTGGAAGGGATGGATCATACATTAGTTGCCTTGTTCTGTTCATTCCCTCAAGCATCTGGCACCTGTCACTGTCAGAAGAAAGGATACTGGACTATATGGACCATTGGTCTGCTCCAGTGTGGCCAGTCTTATGTTCTGAATCTTTGTGGGACACACAGTAAATATTGTATTGCTTTAATTGGTGACTTAACATCTTAAATTACCTCAGGGTACGGTTTACTTCAGTCAAATTAAAATAGGTGTCTAAAATGCAAATAGGAATACCTAATTATCTAAAAACATGTTGCCTGATCATTTTAGCACTATGAGCCTTATATAGACTCTACTAAAATCAAAGTCAACCATTAACATAAATTGGTGTTGGATCTGGCCCTAGGGATCTACCAGTCCTAGATTCTCTTTGGTTTCTATATTTTTTTAAAAAATGTCTAACTTCTATCCTGTCTGTATCTCTTGGAAAATCCCCACACTATCTGTTTGTATTCCAGATCTGGTAAGGAAAACTGCAACCCAAGAAATAAGCAAAGATTTGGTTTCTGTCAGACTGCTATTAATTTATTCATTTAAGAGGTATATTTACGTTAGTGGTTTCCTTCACACTGGTAGTGTTTGAAGGCTTATTGTTCCAAGAAAAACCAGATTTGTGTCAAGTAAAAATCTAACATCAAGAACAAAGATCGTGCTTGCATTTCTGACAACATTTTAAAGCGGCATATTTACATTATTCCTATGCAAGAAAAACGGACAATAAATTATATTTCCTCCTAAAACATAACACCAATTGATGAAGACTCTTCCATAAATATAGCGAGAGCACAGCATTAGACTAGGCTCGCCCGGTGTGGTTCATCTTTAAGGAGCGGTGGTCACAGGGCCACTGCCGCCCTGGGATTTTTAGTGCAATGTGTGAGGTTACCGGCGGCTGCCAGCTGTCCTGGGCCATGCTCCCTGGCTGCTGTAGACATAGCTGCTGCCCGCAGTTCAGTGCGTTACGTGTCTCAGCCGGGCAGCGCTGGCGCCCCGCACGGAGCCCTCGGCCCGGCCGTGCCCTATTCCTGGGGCGGAGCCACATTCCTTCCAGGCTGGGCTCGGAGGTAGCGGACCACTTGCTGCTGCCCGCTCTCTACAGCGAGGTCCACGGGGAGGCGGCCCCATCCGTCGCGCAGATCCAAGCGAGCCCCGCCCCTGTGCAGCGCCACAAGGGTGTCCAGGAAACCTCCTCGTGCCGCATCGTGCACCGGGAGGGAGCCGGTGCTGGGGTCCGGGCGGTTCGGATCCGCTCCGCTCTGCAGCAGCAGCTCCGCCACCTTGGTGCTTCCCAGCATCATGACCTGGCGGGGGAGGGAGAGAGAGAGAAGCCGTCAGTCACCGACTCAGTGCTTAGCCAACTCTTTACACCTGCAAGACTCCAGCAGGTGGGCAAGCCTGGGTCGGGACTGGATTGCGGGATTGGATTCGCTGTGACTAATGCCAGGGGTTTAACTGTTGCGCGTTTCAGTATGAGCCCGATCCAACTCCCATTAACGTAAATAGGAATCCGATTTAGCCCGCGCGTACAACGGAGTATCTGGAAAATAGGTTAATCAAATGTTGATCAGTCAATCGCCTCCTAGACTTTAAAGGCTTAGAGCAGTGTTCGCAGCCTTGTTTTATAAAGTACCCCTTTAAAAAAAAAGTACCTCCTTTAAAAAAAGGACCCCCAGTACCTACAATTTTCAGACACACACATTTTTTTCTGCCATTACAACACATTTGTTTAAATAACTTAATGTAGCTGGGTGGGCGATGAAATGTTTGGGTGTAAAACGTACAAAAATAATAAAGCGCTGTAAAACTTCAAAGAAAAATTTAGTTTTCTCCAAATTTCAGTTGTGTTGACCTACCTCCTCTAGAGTACCCCTAAGGGTACTGGTGCCACTGGTTGAGAAACACTGGCTTAGAGTACCCCAAGGGCTGCAAGACCCAAGCCAAAGAAACAGTACGCTGTTTGAAATGTCAGCCCGCCCCCTAGGTAGAATGTACTATCATCCATTTATTAAAAACCTGTGCGCATACAGGAGAGCACATATGTCTTATACTGTAAGTCATCTCCTCTTAATGCATTGCTTGCATAATATATTTGGGGGAAACACCAGAACAAAATGCGTTTAGCGCGAAAGAATGTACAGAGAAATGCTACCGACCATTTATTTGCACAAAAAGTCTGAAACTTTATTAAAACTGAGGGTTCTTATATAGACCCAAAGGATGGGATTTCCCCAGTCTTTATTCTGGCAATATTCCCGTTAAGGCAAACAGAAACATTACTTGAGTAAGAAGAAGCTGCTGGGAGAGGAGGGGGAGGGAGAAGGAGGACAAAACGCAAAGAGGAAATTCATTTATAAAACACCCAGAGGAGCAACAGTAATACAATAACACAATCTGCTTTTCTGAATGGTAGCTATATTGTAGATTAAAATAGTCTCCTTAACATGAAAATATTGAGTTTCAGTTTAAATAGAACTAGCTTTGCTTAAGTTTCTGAACCTCCGCTCCAAAACGGCTCTTAGAAATAAATATTCACTAGCGCTTAATTCAGTAGCCATAAAAATGCCAAAATATCTATTTTATAGATATTTATAACCATACTAGAAATGTCGATGTTTTTAAAGTTAAGTTTTACATTGAAATCTAAATACTAAAAAAACTGCACAGAAGTACAGCAAATTAAATGATGCAGCACAATTTCTACTGCAGGAATATTATCAAATGCATAAGTTACCGCTTTATAGTAAAATGCAGACCTAATAAAAATTGTCATTGGATCTCTTACAACATAGCTTTTCAGGTCATTCCAGTTTTGGTTTATGCAACAATATACTTAAAAGTTTGCTAAATACACAAATCAAGATTTTGAATGTCCCTTTAATCTCCTGTAGGAGCACTAGAAACTATTTAAGATTTTAATGTCCGTATTTCACCATGATATAATGAAACCACTTTCATGCATACTTATTTTTACTGCATGATCTACTATTGCTAGTCATACCGTTTAGTTAATGTATTTGAGCTTCGGCGAAATTATCTCGCTACTTCCAGTAGTAGATTTAAAATGAAAGGGCACCCTATATTTAGGCACAGATATGCCAATTACTGAAATTCGAAAATGTAAAGTACGTGGGGGAAGAGGGGAAAGGTTAAGTCATGTTACAATTAAACAACTGCAGAAGGGAAGCTCAGTTAGTTTGTACAGGATTAAACTTAAAAAACGACAAATAGTCTGGTAGCACTTTATAGACTAACAAAACATGTAAATGGTATCATGAGCTTTCGTGGGCAAAACCCACTTCTTCACAGCCCACTTTCAACACTCCGATCATCTGAAGAAATGGGCTATGCCCACGAAAGCTCATGATACCATCTATATTTTGTTAGTCTTTAAAGTGCTACCAGACTATTTGTTGTTTTTTTAATTAGACAACAATAAGTTATTAAAAATAAAACTGTTTTCAAAGGAGACTGCGTTGTTTAATACTTTCAATTTTCTTATGTGACATGAATTAGTTTTCTTCGATCATTTCATTATTGTTGTTATGGTGCCTACTTCTTCGGACTGTCCTCCCTCCTGTAAAACTTGCACATTGAATTCAATGCGAGTTTCGTATCTGACCCTAAAAACTATAAGGAAATACAAGAGAATAAATATTAAACCGGGCACAGATACCTATAACTAGTCAGCTGAAGTATAAGTCTTTGAACATATGACTTATGTTTATCTTAAAAGTGAAATTTAGTGTTTGTAACTTCCAATTTTTTGTTCTTTATACATATTTCTGCAGCCACTGAGATGCTGGACCGCCATGACAACATTTTGTTAATCTTGTGAACAAATGTCTAGCCTTAGTATGCACTTCCTGGGTAGAATTGCCCATTCCGCTTGGGCTTTTGATTTTATCGGCGATCATTACTGATCTGTATAGCGTCAACTTTAGGGTTTCAGCGGAAGGACTGATTTTTGGCATGTACAAAAAAAAGAACCCCCCTTCCCCCCC